TCTCCCCAGGCCCTGCTCAGAGCTGTGCCCCCCCTCCCCAGTTTCCCTGGGTCACCTTGATCCTCAGAGTGAAAGGCAAGGCCCTGTCTCGAGGCTGCACTTAGATTAATATCTGGGTCTTGGGGCTACTGTGAACCCTCAAATGGGAGCCAGGAGATGCTGAAGGCCCAGCAGCCTGGCCAAAGAGACCCAGCCTGGCCCTGGAGGCACAAGCCACTCCCTCAAACAGCTCTTCCAGCCTTGGGGTGTTTGTAGGGAGAGACAGGGCGTTCTGCCTGGCTCTGCAGGGACACAATAGGGCCCCTCCGTGGACACTTCTGAGGACACTGTAGCCCCTCCAGGCTTGCCCTGCCCAGCCCCACTCTCTCCCTGCAATCTTTAATCCATGGCTGGTCTGGCTGCTTCCGGAAGCCAGAGCTGGCCTCAGAGATTTGCAACAGCATCTACACCCTTACCCCAGCACTTGAGTTGCATTGCGGAAGAGTTTGGGGTATAATTGCTGAGGCCAGGCTGGCCCCTCCCGCAGCTTGGCAGCTCTCTGGGCACCCTGTTGCTAGAGTAGAGCTGTTTCAGGTGGCCCCAGCAGGTCCTCTACTTGTAGCAGGAGCCTGCCCAGACCCATCCTCCTGGGCTATAGTTAACCTGTCCATCCTGCAACCCCACTGGGGCCTGGAAGATGATAAACTCCCTTTCTGATTCTGGTCTCCCCACCCTGTAGACCTATGCTGGGAAAGGACATAGGCTGCCTGAGAGGGTGGGCAAGGAAATGTGGCTGTGTCCAGTATCAAGAGAGGCGAACCCAATAGCTACAGAGCTGGTAGAGACGGTGATGGAAACAAAGAAGGCCTGGGGAGCTGCCTGCATAGTTTGACAGGCACAGCCCCTTTACACAGAAGGCCTGAGCTAGGTCATAACATCTACATGGGCCCTGGTCTTCTCATGCTGCAGACTGGGGCACCACACTAAGGTCAACTTTCAGAGTCCAGAATATTCTACCCAGCAGCTTGTCAAGTTACCCAGGGTACTGTTGCTTTCCTACTCAAGACCCTTTGAGGAACATTTCTGAGAAGGGCTGTGAGACTTGGCAGACGTGAGAAGGTAGGGTGCTTCCATCATAGAGGGGCTATGCCCAGGTAGCAGGTGGGAGTCTGGTGGTTCTGGTGAGGCCCCTAAAGCCAGTGGATCCTTTGACAGCTCAGGTCCTACCAGGCCTTAGAGAAGTTCTTAGCCTTTGAGGATAAGCTGTCTTTGTCACAGAGCTAGACCGTCACTGCCCCCATTCCAGGATGCTGGCTACCCCCAGAGAAGACGCTACCTCCCTCTAGAACAAAGCTGGGACTGTTTCTAGAAGCCCAGGCCTTGAGCATGAGGTAGGGACAGCCTTGAGGACCTCTCAAGGCCAAGACCAAGAATTTGTGTCTGCTGTGAACCTGGTGCTCAGAGCAGTCAGGCCTCATTCTAGGCAGGGTAGCCCCATGTGCAGCTCATGTGTTGACTTAAGTCTTTCCCACTGGCCCTAGGAGGCCTGAGCTGGACTGTGCCCGGGGTGGCCTGGGGCTGCAGTGGGTCTGGAGAAGGGAGAGGGCTAATCTGAGACCAGGTGGGATGTGGGCCTCTCTGCCTGTGCCAGGGCCTTCAGTGGGATCCTGGGAGAGCAGGCATCAGTTCTCCCCTACCAGGAGCATACACTCTCAGTACCTCCATTCCACTTTGTCCTTTGAGGACCAGGGAGCAGTAGTGTGTATCTATTAAGATGAAGTATCTCTGCTCTCTGGCTCCAGCCAAGCAAGAGTTCTTGGAGGGCATAGGGGCCCCTGACTAGCCCAGAACTGCAGGCTGCACACAGGACTGACTCAGAGAAAAGGGGGAAAGTCACAGGGAATGTGCAGGAGTCCCAGGACCAGAGTATCTGCCCTATGTTTACCCAGGCCTCCTGGCCTCCATCTTATATAATCTCTATTGGCGCAGAAGCACAGGAGTACCGTGTTTCATCAGGAATCTGGCACCTGCCCCAGCCCCGCCCAGCCTTGGTAAGGGTGAATGCCTGGCCCTTGGGCACCGTAAGTTAGGGTTCTTCAGTGATCACCTCACTTGTAATCCCCTCTACCTGACAGGCCCAGGCAGATGACCTAGGTGCCTCAGGCCCTTACTGTGCCTGGCCTGGTGTCCACCCTGACTCTTCCACAGCTCAGAGTTCCTGTGCAGCCCAATTTCTAGGACACTCAATAAGGATGGGAGAGAGGGCTGGACCGGAGCCAGACTGAGGAGAGGCAGAGGGTCCAGGGCCCTGCCTAAGCCCAATGGAGGTTCCCACTTGCTGCAAACAGGTCCCCATGAACAGATCTACCAGGCCCAGATTTTCTACACTTCCAAAGCATCTCCACTGTCTCTGCACATGTGCAGAAACTGAGGCACAGAAAGGCTGGCCATCGGCCTGGGTGATTTTGTCTCTTCCAGATCTAGGGTGGCCTCAGTGACCTGCTGGTATTGTCTGTCCCTGTCTCCGATCCATTGGCAGAGACAGCGTGGTTAGGCAGGAGGGGATTCTGGGTGTTCCTGGGCTCTAACATCCAGATGTCCTGTAGCTCAGGGGAAATAGAGGCCCTCTGCCTGTCAGGAACTTAGGAGAAAAGATTTCAGTGACTGGGTTGGCACCTGGGGCTAAAGCTGGGGATCAGGGGTTCATCCTTCCCCAAAGCTGGTTGAGTTCTTGCATGCTATGCAGTCTTCTCATTTGTGTGACAACCCCCCCCCCCCGCTTCCTGGGGCCTCAGAAGACACTAACCGGTTGGAAAAATCAAGGTGTCATGGAGTGGTTCCTGGAAGGCTTCCTGGAGACATGGTCAGGCTTTGGACTAAAAAGGTGGTACAGGAGCAGGCAGCAGTCCACAGCAGGCACTGATGCAGACAGCTTAGAAGATGAGGCCAGTGACTCACAGACAGGAGACAGGGACAGATTAGGACTTGGAAGGATCAGAGGTAGCTCACTCCTTGGGACTCTGGCTCTGGTCAGTGAGCAATTTGGGAGAGGGCTTTTCGGGAGTATAAGCTAGGTGTGGAGGGGCTTCCCACTGTTGTGGAGTGAGCTAGGCTACAGCCATCAGAATCTTGCCTCCTCCAGAGGTACCCTGAGTCTCCACCTGGCCCAACTTGAGCACTAGGATCTGAGTCCCGTCCCCCTTCTCACCCCCCACTCCTCATTACTCTGGGATCAGCTCCATGTCCCAGTCCCAGTGGACCAGTCCAGTCTGGGCAGCGTTTGTGGATGGGTGCTGAGTGAGGCGGGATCCTGGGACTGTGGGGGCACACAGGAGTGGTTGGGTGGGGACAGGCCCATGTTAGCTCCATCACAAGGCAACCCCTGCTCCATCAGGTGGGACTGTGGAGGCTGAACTCCCAGGAAGCACAGCGCGATATCCTTCCAAGAGGTCTGTGTTAGTTACTTGGTTGTCACTGCAACAACAGTATCTGACAGAAAAAAAAATTAGGGAGGAAAGATTTATTTTGACTCTTGGAATCAGGAAGGACCTGGCAGAGAAAATAACAGGGACCAGATATCAGCTTCAAAGGCCCTCCTCAGTGACCTACTTCCACCAACTACACCACACCTCCTAAAGTTCTACTAACAGCTGAGGAGTAAACACTTACCACATGAGCCTGCTGGGGCTATGTCAGAGTCAAACGATGAGCAGCTCCCACTCTCAGAAGCACTTCAAGACCACTGTGCAAGGGGGTTTTACCGCATGTATAAGACTTCCCTAGGTTGATGCGCCCAGGCTTTCTTCCCACATTCCTCTTCCCATCTCCCTGCCCCCCATTCTCAGCACTTCTGAAGAAAACCCCCGGATCTGCGGCTAAGCCAGGCTGGGGCCTGGGGATGGTGCATGATCCCAGAGTCAGCCTCTCTCCACCTGTTCTAACACATTATCTCTCCTTAGGTCCAGGGCATGTATGGGCCTGAGTGGGCAGTGCATGGGGCTGTTCTGGGCAAGGGCTGATGGGAGTCTGAGTGAAGGGGTGGGGTTTCAGGCTCCTCTAGGTGATTCTGGGCTCTATCCCACTTCCTCACCTGGAGCTCTGCTGGACCATCCCCAGCAGCCCCAACACCAGTGAGAGAGCAAGAGATCCTCCCAGCATGGCCCACCCAGATGATGCTAAATAAATCTGTGCCCCAGAACCAAAAACTCCAGGGCCACAGGGAGGAGGGTGAAGGGCGGTACATGACAGCACTCACGTTCACGGTTCCCCAGCCAGAGATGAGTCCAATGGAAGCGGGAAGAAGTCCCAAGCTGGAACCCCCTGCCATGGCCTGCAGCCCCTTGAAGCCCACTGCTCCACCCTTCCCACCCACCCCTGCTTCCTTCCCCCTAGGGAGCCCAAGGGGGCACCACATGAGCCCCATTAGCTGGCCACAGGGGCGGATACACTGAGCACATCTAGCTCTTGAATCTGCTGCAGGGGAGATTGGATTTCGTCATCTTGGTGGGGGCTCCTCATGGCCACCTGGACTGCTGACCTTGCAGGACCAAATGTTCAAGGTACAAATGGGGCTTTGTGTTCCCTGATGGTGTCATGGGACTTGGAGAGGGATGGTGAGCAGGGCTTGTGGGAGGAAGGTTTTAGCTCCAGGTGGAAAAGTGACCAGAGCTCCCAGCAGCACCAAGACACAACCCCAGTCCCATCCCAGATACTAAGGTAGGTGGGCTTTGCCAGTAGGAGTGAGGCAGGTGAGATCTGGGCCAACTTTGTCTCTGGAGATGGAGAAAGAGGGGCCATGCAGAGGCATCTGCCTTCCCCTGACTGCCCTGCCCTCACTGAGATGGGGCATCAGGGCCCAGGCCTTGCTCAGTTGGAGCCTCTTACATAACTGGCCCTGTCACCGATGAAGATGCAGCTGGGATCGCCACCCCCCACACAGGCCAGCATCACGAGCCTCCAGTGGGCCGTCCTTGGGCCTCGGGTGGAGGCCAAGCCTGGCCCATAAATAGGGGTCTCACCAGTGCCCTCTGCTCCTGCTCACGGGCTTCCTTGGTCTGCCCACACTGCTGGCCTCAGGCCCAGACACCTGCTCTGCTCCAGGAGAATGGCTGCTTTTCACATGCTGTGGATGGGACTGGTCCTGCTAGGGGTCCTGGGATTCCCTGAGACCCCAGCCCAGAGCCTTGACTCCGTGCAGCCCAACTTCCAGCAGGATAAGGTAAGGGTCCTCTACCCCACACCCAAGGCAGCAGAGTCCTTGGGTCAATGGGACCTTTCAGAGCCAGGTCTTATCCCACAAAAGAGCACTGTGTCCCTTAGTACCCCAGAAGGGCCTGTGCAGGGCTGAGGCCTGAGCCTGCTGAGAGGGAAGGAGGGCTGGGAAGCTACCTGGGCCCTTAGGAGGCACTCCCCAAGGAGCGGCTTTTCACTTATGGTCTCTGGAGAGAGGACTTGCACACATGTGGGCCACATAGCCCCATCCCTACAAGAGAGTCCCCCTATAACTGTGTGAAATATAGGACATACACAGGCACACATGCCATACCTGCCAGGATGCATCTCTGCGCAGTACATAAACCTGGATTGGGCACTGGCTAGCACCTATCAGCCTATGTGCCCCAGGATGTGCTTGGCACCACAGGCCCTGGAGATGGCAGGGAGGAGATGGGCCTACAGCCACTGTTGGTCTGCCGGAGCCTCCAGAATGGGACATGTTCTGGACAGCCCCCCCCATCACTCTGCCCATTAGGGGACTGGGACAAGGACTAGGATGACCCTGGGGAGAGAGGAGGAGCCTTGCTGACCTCTGGCAGGGTGGGAATGGGAGGGGCCTACTGAGAGGGAGGGGATGTAGGTGAGTAGGGTTCAAGGGAAAGGATACCACCAAAGCCCAGGGGTAGGGAGGTGGCGGAGTCAGAGGGGAGGGACAGGAAGCCTACCCAGGTCTGCCCAGGAGGGGCGAGGGTCTGACCGTGGTGGCCATTTGCCACAGTTCCTGGGGCGCTGGTACAGTGCCGGCCTCGCCTCCAATTCGAGTTGGTTCCGGGAGAAGAAGACAGTGCTGTCCATGTGCAAGACAGTGATAGCCCCCTCAGCAGACGGCGGCCTCAACCTCACCTCCACCTTCCTCAGGTGGGACAAAGAGGCAGTGGTGTGGTTCTGGGATCCAGAGGGACCCCACCCTATTGTCTGGGGGACATCCTGGGGTCTGACCCCTGACCTCGACAGTAACCTTCCACAGGAAAAACCAGTGTGAAACCAAGATCATGGTGCTGCAGCCTGCAGGAGTCCCTGGACAGTACATCTATAACAGTCCCCGTGAGTAGGCTTCCCCTTTCCTGGGTCAATGCTGAGGCCCTTGTTGGCAGACTGGACAGTCCCCCACTCCTTCTTACTCTCCCCTCCTCTCCCCCTTATGGAGATGATGGTCACTCCACCAGGATCGGTCAGCCAAGCCTGGGTGTGAATCTGCCCCAGGCACATACATCAGTGTGGAGGACAGAGAGACCTCCCTCTGGGGAATGTGTCCTCTCTGGAGCCCACACATGTTCTGCTAGGCCCTTCCCCTGCCCAGATGGAATTTTCCAGTTCTCTTCTGCCCAGGTGGGTCATATAAAGGCAGACCCCAAATCTTACCCATACCTCACATTCTACCCTAGGGCCTCTCTCAATCCCGCACTTGGAATATGGCTCCCCACAGGAACCCTATCTCCCTCCCCTCCTGTCTGAGAGTTTGTATTGCAATCCATCCAGCTACTTTTATAGGCTTGAGTGTTATCTGCCTCTACCCAAGACTTGTGATTTGGAGTTGGTGTTCCCAGGCTGTGCAGGCAGGAAGCCAGAAGCTGGCTGGTGGCCATCTAGGGGTGGGGCAAAGAAGGCAGCCAGACTGGGGGGTGGGGGAGGGAGAGGGAGTATCCTGGGGAATCTAAGGACCTGAACCCCTCCTCACAGCCCAGCGTAGAGAGGGCACCCCTTCCAAGCAGAGGGGACAGAGCTATAGGATCCATGTGACCAACCAGGGTCATCTCTTGGGTTCCCAGACTGGGGCAGCATCCATTCCGTCTCAGTGGTGGAAACCAACTATGATGAGTATGCACTGCTGTTCAGCAGGGGCACCAAGGGCCCTGGCCAGGACTTCCGCATGGCCACCCTTTACAGTAGGTACCACACCCTTGTGGGGTCACCTAATAAGCTTGGTCTGGGGTTGGCAGAAGACTGAAGCCTGGTCCTAGAGGGGAGTCCCAAAGGAGGTAGTCCCCAAGATACAGGTGTGGGGGCAGAGCAGAGAGTTTTGCCTGCTAAGCCTGGCCTCTTCTTTGTCTACCAGGCCGTACCCAGACCCTGAAGGACGAGCTGAAGGAGAAATTCACCAACTTTATCAAGGCCCAAGGCCTCACAGAGGAGAACATTGTTTTCCTGCCCCAACCCGGTGAGGGGGTGGGGGTAAACTGCCGGGGAGGGAATTATAGTCAGATTAGAGCCGCAAAGTCCTCTGAGCTCAATAGGGGAGGGAAGACTGGGGAGAGGTTGGCACTGCCCTACCACCCACTGGCCTGCCTGGTAGTCCCAGCAGGGCCCCAAGGAAAAGAACAGAGGTGTCCTCAGCCTGTCCCAACTCCATCACCTCTGCCTGCAATCCTCTTTATTAGGAACCCCCTTCCTGATGGATACCAAGTACCCCTGTCTGCCAGCTCCTAGCTGGGGGAGGGGGACAGGGGTGACCCCGAGGGACACAGGTGGAGAAAGACCACCTCTTATGTTTTGAGGATCAGGCTAGGGAAGGGGTGGAATAGAGTTTGCAATTTGTGGGCTCAACTGAGGCTAGCGCGACAGGGCTTTTGGGGAGGCTCCTCAGAGTTAAGACTAGGGCGTGAAGTCCTGGTGGGGATGGGCCTGGTGGAGATGGGCCTGGTGCTGACCACTCCCTTGGGCTTCTTTCTTGACAGATAAGTGCATTCAGGAGTGAAAATAGGTGAAAGAAGTCAGCCAATGGGCTGGCTTCACCTGGTAAGTGCTACTGGTTCACTCACTCAACACATAGTCTGGGTCACAGCTCCGTGAGCAGACCAGGCACCCAGGTATGATGGTCAGAAAGAAATCCTAGATACAATGGCAACGACTGGAATAGGGCTGATGGCCAAGGGCTCGTGGGGAGGGAGGTAAGGATGCATGTGCCTAGTCTCAGACAGAATGGGAAGGGACTTCCCCCTGTGGAGGCTCCTCTGACGGGTCTCTAGGGAACTAGGAGGGGTAAAATGGGGGAGGAGGATGGCCATTGATGGATACGGCTGGTCAGAGGGCTTTTCACTGCTGCCACTGGCTGAGACCTAGGGACCAGAGATGGAAGGGACACCCCTTGCCAGAAGTAGAATTTGGGCCCCATGGGAGCCAGGGTGTTGCCTGTACCACTGATGGGTCCTCTTCTGTCCAGGTGACCCAGTCCTCAGGATTTGTCTGCTCTGCTACTCTGAGACCCCAAGCCCTGGCTTCCCAAAGTGCCTCTGTACCACCCAGCTTTTACCTTACAGAGTAATAAAGTCTAATGCAAGGCAGATCCTGGCTCCTGTCTGTCTGTCCTCTGGCCACCTGGGCTACCATCATTATCATCATATAGGGCTTGTGATCCTCATGGAGTCCTAATTCAGGACAGCTAAAGGGATATGCTGAATGTAGTGCCTACCTTGCACAGGGCTGCAGCCTCATCACACACACACACACACACACACACACACACACACACACACACACTCCTCCAGCCATAGCCCCTGAAAGCTGCCAGCAACAAGCAGGCCTGGGCTGGGCTGGTGGGGGTCAGTCACTCAGAAGCTAATCCCTTAGACAGGTGTCCACCCCTACGCTTACAGTAATCGCTAAAGCAGGAAAGGCCTCAGGGCGCCTCATCCCACAAGCTCTTCAAGGTATGGGATTAGCACATTCGGATTGGGCAATAAAGATTAGAGGGACAAAAAGAGACATTTGTTTGATAGACACTTGATTTGTGCCACCCACCAATACAGGGTGGGCTGGAAAGAGGCCTCCTATACCTCTGCTCCCTGGCTAGAGTCCTGTCATCAAAAGGCCAAAACCATAGTGATGGCCACTCAACTCACCTCGCTTTTCCCTCGGATTCCACAAGGGTGGTCATTCTCAAGCCCCTATCCATCCCCTACTGACTGTACCAGGCTGTGAAGCACAGCGGTGAGTGTGACCTCTGAGCAGCCTTCCTGGAGAACAGACCTGAACTGTGCCTGATCTGACATCCCAGAGCTGTGAGGCAGCCCCTAGCCTAGAGGCCACTAGGACCACTTGCCCCTAGCTGTCAAGCTCCCTACCCTCACCCCTCCCACAGGAAACATGGGCTGGCAGGATGGGGCTGGGTGGAAACAACTGGGCCAGGTGCAACTCGATCAGTGGCCTATCACAGTGGGCTGTGTCCCAGGCCAGGGGCCAGTCACCTCAGGGCATCTTGGGGACATAAAGGCCACTCAAAGGAAGTTACCCCAGCTCTTGTGCCCTGAGGATTCTCCACAATGCTGCAGGCTCTGCTGATTAGCTCTCTCCTTGCCTTGCTTAGAGTGTCCCCAGGCTGGGCTCAGGTCCCCATCAAGGACAACTTCGACGCCGTTCAGGTTAGCCATGCTTTCTCATACCCATCTTGCCTCCTTGTTTTTCCATTCCAGGTTCCTGCACACATTCTCTTTCATCCCAGCTTAGCCGGGCCTCAAGCTTCAAGAAAGATCCCCCCATTTGCTCTACTGGATCAGGAATGGGTTTAGGAGTACAGGCCTAGTCTTAGGTTGTGCCCACAACCGCCCAGGGCCTGTAGTTAGGATGAGTTGCCTCAGCCTCCTAGAACTGGCCTAGGTGCAGTGGCTGTGGGCACTGGATACTGGGCCTTGTCAGGGAAGCAAGGGTATCTTGGCAAGATAGGGTGGGCTCTGGCAGGGTGTAGAGGTCTTCACCTGGTCCTTCTGCCCTGCAGTTCCAGGGCACCTGGTACATAGTTGGGGCTGTGTCAGATGACCAGGGCTTCCAGGACTCAAAGGATGACATGAAGATGCCCATGGTCGTAGTGAAGTACTTGGCCAATGGTGACCTGTCTGTCAAGTTCGGGTATCCCATGTAAGTGATCCTATGAGCTTCACCTTCAATCCGGCCTCAGGCAAGGGCCAGTGTTCAAACCAAATGAAGGTCAGGAGGAACAAGAGAAATCCCTGCACACCAGGAGGACGGATTATAGGCTCCTGACAGCCTGGGCAGAAGAGACCCAAATAAGAACCACAGCAGTCTGTTACCCAGAAGACTCGGGCTGTAGTGAAAGCCTGCCCAGTGCCCGAGGGAGGGAGCCGTGGCTATACCTATGTGCGCTTCTGTGTGTGCGCCTGGAGGGGCCCTGCACTGGGCAAACCCTCCTTACCTGCCAAACCCCAACAGGCCTTCAGTCCCTTGTAAGACAAAGCACTGTGTCCTCTGAGGATTTTTGTGAAGCCAGTGGGGGACTCTGGCAGCTTTGCATGGGCAGTGTCCTCAGAATACTTGGCAGGGCTTGCACTGTCTGGGAAAGCAAGGCAGGGGCAGGTCTAGTGGCCTCCTCAAGGGCCACTACTCAGGTGTGGAGCTCTTCCTCTCCAGGCCAGATGGTGGGTGCCAGAAGATAGAGACGACTTTCACCAAGGGTGCCGTGGCCGGGCAGTTCAGCAACCCAGGTGAGGAGCTTGGATGGTCTGAAGAGCGCCAGTGGGTAACAAGAAAAGAAGGGGACCTCATTGTGCAGGCTGTAGACGGACAAAGAGCATGAGCCTTCCTGGGTGTTGTATCCCAGAGATGGCCCCGTTCAGCAGCTCATCTTTCATTCTCAGCCATGGCACAGATGGACATCCGCGTGCCCTTCACAGACTACCTGCACTTCGCTGTGATGTACTTCAAGACTCAGAAGCAAGGCATGGAGAATGTCTGGCTGCAGCTCTACGGTGGGCTGGCAGGGGGTGTGGTCCCTCCTGATCCCCCCGTGATCATTAGGCACAGACCCCCTCCCCTGGAGTGGTACCCCTGATCTGGGTGGGAGTATTGCCCAGGTATATACCCCAGCACATGCTCACTCATGGCAGTCCTACAGTGTGCCTCCCTGGGAACACAAACGTGGAGTCTGTGGCAGGGGGCCAAGACCCCCACCTGCCCCACCCCTCCTTGGCCCTGCCTGTCAACACTCATGGCTCTCTCTGCCTTCAGCCCGCAGCCCAGAGATCTTTCCTGAAGGTGCACAGAAGATGCAGCAGCTGGCAGCCCAAGTGGGCCTGAACCCCAGCCAGGGTGCTCTGCTGCCCGGGTCCGGTAAGTGCTGTCCCCACCCTAGCTCAGAGCTGTAGGAGACAGGAGACCTCAGATCCAAACTGCCAGGCCAAGTCCAGAAAGTCACTCTACATACCCCAGACCAGGACAGATGTGCCAGAGGGCACCTTAAGACTGTCTGGGCCAATGAGGAGATATGGGAGAAGTTGGAGGAGAGGGAGTGGGCATGGATTTGATCAAAACACCTTATATGCATGTATGAAATTCTCAATAAATTAAAAAAAAAAAGACTGTCTGGGCCAAGTGAAGGAGGAGGCATGCCCAGGCCAGTACCCCCAGGAAACTATCACTGACTGGGAGGGTGGAGGACTCAAGGAAGGTGGCACCTGAGATCTGCTTTCTCAACAGATCAGTGTGTCGGTGCTTTGGCATAGGTGAGTGCCCTCAGAAGTCCCTCCCAAAGTCCCATGCCCACCCCAACCCAGGGATTCACTGGGGGCAGACTTGTGTAGGAGAGGGCTGGAAGGCGTGGTCACTGTAGCCCTCTCCTACCACCTCCCACCACCACACTGGCCATGCTTGGGAACCAGCTGGGGTGGGGGCGAGGGCAACAGAATCAGGGCTACGTGGCCTGCACCTGCTCGTTGCTTTTCAGTAAAGGATCCAGTCACAGTCACTGGGGTGCCAGTAAGGATCATGCTGCTTATGTGCCAAGTCTTCCCTAAAGAGCTTCCCTTCTCTCCACCGCTCCCCAAGTGCAATAAACTTTCTGCTAAAGCTGACAGTGGTGTGTGATTTCTCAGAGGAGCAAGAGTACTTGTGGTGAGGGCTGGTCTAAGGATCCCACACACCTGAGCTGGGAGCTGGGGCAGCACCGGCAGGGTTCGGTGCAAGTGCACACCCTGGGCCCTGTTAGGCCAGGAAGGAGCTAGAGTTTGGTTCTTCAGGGTGGGAGACAAGGGTGCCTAAGGGGCCTCCAGCACCCAACCTAGGAGTGTAGCACTGGCTGATGCAGCTACACAGAAGCACCTGATTGGAATTGAAATCACATGGTGCAAGCCATGCCCCATGTGCACAGGGCTGGAGGAGAAGGGGGGCTACTGTTGACAGGTTTATTCTACTGTTGATAGGTTCAGCCTTCAAGAATCTCAAAAGTTACTGGGCATGGTGGTACACACCTTTAATCCCAGCACTCGGGAGGCAGAGGCAGGTGGATCTCTATGAGTTCAAGGCCAGCCTAGTTCCAGGCCAGTTGGGGCTCTATACTGATTCCCTGTCTCACACAACACCCCCAAAATCTCAAAAATTAAGATGGGCTCAGCAAGTAAAGCACTTGCCACGCAAAGCCTGACGACCTGAGTTTGATCCCTGGAATATCTTTAAAAATGGAAGGAGAAAACCAACTCCACAAAGTTGTCCTCTGACCTCCATAAGTATGCTATGGCACACCCACACCTCCCCACAACAATAAAAATAATTAATGAATTTAAAAATTAAGATGAGCCTGGCGTGGTGGCACATGCCTTTAATCCCAGCACTTGGGAGGCAGAGGCAGGCAGATCTCTGTGAGTTCAAAGCCAGCCTGGTCTACATAATGAGTTCCAGGACAGCTGGGGCTACAGGGATACCCTGTCTCAAAAAGACCAAAAAAAAAAAAAAAATTAAGATGGAGGCTGGAAAGATGGCTCACCAGTTAAGAGTACTGGCTGCTTTTGCAGAAGACTGGGGTCCATTCCCAGCACCCACATAGCAGCTAACAACTGTCTTTAATTCCAGTTCCAGGGGATTTGATGCCTTCTTCTGACCTCTGCGGGCACTGTGTAACACAGGTGTGCCTACTTACATGCAGGCAATACACTTATACACATAAAATAAAAATAATAAATATATAAAGTATTTTTTAAAATAAGGTGGAGGGCCAGTGAGATGGCTCATGGCATCAAGCCTGACAACCTTCTTTCAATCCCCAGAACCCATGTGGTGGAAGGAGAGAACCAGCTCCATCAAGTTGTCCTCCAACCTCTTCATGGGCACTATGGTATATGCACGCCCACACACAATAAATATACATGTAAAATATTCGTAATGATGTAGAGAGTGACTGAGGAAAGCACCCGACGTTGACCTCTGACCTCTACACGCATGTCCCCACACTTGTATCCACAGTCACATGTACAACTGTACACTGCTGCAGTGGTGGTGCATGCCTTTAATCCCAGCACTTGGGAGGCAGAGGCAGGCAGATCTCTGTGAGTTCAAGGCCAGCCTGGTCTACATAGTGAGTTCCAGGACAGCTGGGGCTGCAGGGAGACCCTGTCTCAAAAAGACCAAAAAAAAAAAAAAAAAAAAAAACAACAACTGTACACTGCTGTTTTTATACAGGACAGTATTGTTTTGTTTATTTAATCATTTGTTTTTGAGGCAGAGTCCTATTATGTAGCCCAGCTGACCAGGGACTCCAGCTCCTCTTCCCTCAATAAGGTGTGTTCCACCACATCCGGCAATATTGTTTTTTTTTTAAATATTTTATTTATTATTTTTATTTTATCTGTATGAGTGTATTGCCTGCATGTAGGTGAGTGCACCCGTGTCGTGCAATGCCCGTGGAGGACAGAAGAGGCTGTTGGTTCCCCTGGAACTGGAGTTACAGTTGTTAGCTGCCATGTGGGTGCCAGGATTTGAACCCAGGTCTTCTGTAAGAACAGCAGTGTTCTTAACTGCTGACCCATCTCTCCAGCCCCAACATCATTGTTTTTTACAAAATAATCATCCAGAAAAATTTGAGGGTAAAATCCAAGGCTGTCTGTAATATAAATATTTCAGCAAAATTTAGTAAAAATACGGATTGCAAATTCATCAGAATGTTGACAATTCTTCCATCTGGGCCCTATGTTATTATTTCTGCTTTTCAGTTGGTTTAGAATTTTTCATTAAAAAGATCGTGCCTTAAGGCTGGAGTTGAGGTCGCCTGCCTCTGCCTCCCGAGAGCTGGGATTAAAGGCGTGCGCTACCATGCCCAGCCATAAAATATACATTTTTTAGATATTTTATTTATTATTTTTATTTTATGTGTATGAGTGTATTGCCTGCATGTATGTGAGTGCACCCGTGTCACGCAGTGCCATGGAGGTCAGAAGAGGGCTTCGGATTCCCGTGGAACTGGAGTTAAGGACAGTTCGTAGCCGCCATGTGGGTGCTGGGAATCGAACCCAGGTCCTCTGCAAGAGCAGTCAGTGCTCTTAACTGCTGAGCCATCTCTCCAGCCCCAGGCTTAATTTTTTAAAAAATTTATCTGTATGAGTGTTTTGCCTGCGTGTAAGCACAGCCATGCATGCAATGTCTGCGGAGGCAAGGAGTGGGCATCGGATCCCCTAACTGAAGTCATAGAATTAGGGAGTTGAGGTCAGCTGGGACTACAGGGAGACCCTGTCTCAAAAAGACAAAATAATAATAATAATAAGTAATATATATATATATATATACATATTTGGTCTTTTTGAAGCAAGGTCTCCCTGTAGCCCCAGTTGTCCTGGAACTCACCATGTAGACCAGGCCGGCCTTGAAGTCACAGAGATCTGCCTGCCTCTGCCTTCCAAGTGCTGGGATTAAAGGCGTTAGATATTTTATTTATTATTTTTATTTTATGTGTATGAGTGTATTGCCTGCATGTATGTGAGTGCACCCATGTCACACAGTGCCATGGAGGTCAGAAGAGGGCTTCAGATTCCCGTGGAACTGGAGTTAAGGACGGTTTGTAGCCGCCATGTGGGTGCTGGGAATCGAACCCAGGTCCTCTGCAAGAGCAGTCAGTGCTCTTAACCGCTGAGCCATCTCTCCAGCCCCAGATTTATTTTCTTGATTGGGCCTCTCTGAGCTGAGTTCACAGAAATAAGAAGCGCCCCCCAACAACCAGACAGCCCTTTGAAGCCCCAGTATCTGTTGGTGTCTTGCTCAGGTGGTACTGCCGTCCCCAATCTGAAAGCCTGGGGAAGGGACAGTGGGGAAAGGCCCACAGATCTGAATTCCTGCCCCCTCTGCCCCAATAGCAGCTGTACCTGAAAGACTTGGCCAAGGCACGGTCAGCCCCAAATCCCCAAGCCCCTATCCCAGAGGTATCTGCTGAGAGGTGCTGCCTGAGCTATGCTGTCACTTAGTTACTGTTCCATCTATCTTTTTACATTTAGCTTCAATATAGGCCACCACTGTAGCAACAGAAGTCAAGGCAGGGGTTCACTTTGCTACAGTTGTCCTGGTGCTTAGCCCCCAAGGGTTCTGGGAAGGGTCTAGAGTGGAAAAATGCAGACTGCCTTCCATAGCCTCAGGGACAGATTCTTCTGGAGTGGGTCAGCCCTGACAGAAAGGCCCATGGGAGAACAATGGTGATCATTTCGCAGAGTCAGCAGTTCAGCCCACTTGTCACATGCTGCACCACCCTACTCTGGCCACACAGGGGCAGTCCTCGGTCAGCGGTTGAAGAACCAGACACAAGGGGAGACATTTACAAGCTATGTCAGATCTTGCCCTCCATGCTCAGAATCCGGGGACCCCAATGAGTCCCACCTCACCTAGAGTAAGGCCCCACAGTCCCGTTCTCCCTCCCCACCTCACTCTACCTTGCAGCCTCTGCACCGTGTGGGTTCTCACACGAAAATCAAATATGCTGCTATTTAAGCCTTCAGTGGCTTCCCCTCTTTTTCTCATTCATTCATCCATTCTTCATTCATTCATTCAAAGGGACAGGGCATTGTTATGCTGCCCAGATTGGCCTCAAACTCCTTGATTAAAGCAATATTCATGCTTCAGTCTCCAGTGGTTAGGACCACTGGTGTTCACTGCTGTGCCTAGCTCATAATGTTTATTGAATAGTTCCATGCCCAGCATTGTCTAAGCATGGAAGCACAAAGGTGGTAATAAACCGTAATAGCCTTATGGGATAGATGTACATGCACTTATCCCTACTTCTGAGTAACAAATTATTTCAGAACTTAGCAGCTTAAGACAAGCTGTTATCGCTAGGTCTGGAAGGGCAGGGACAGGACCTCTAGTGAAGGGATGATACAGTGTGCTGTTGCCCAGGCCCATGGTCTGGAGCGAGCTTAGCTGGGGCTCTGCCTCCTAGCCCCATCACTGGCGCCGGCACGCCTCCATGCTTTGCCATTCAGTGGTTTTCCCAGGCTGTCTTGTGTCATGGTGAGCAATATGAGAGGGGTGGGGAACTGACAGCCATTACTCCCACCATATTCCAGCGACTAGAAGCAAGTCATTAGGTATAGCTAAGGGGAGGGGTCAGTCAACAGTGCAAATCCAAACACGGACATCAGAGAATCCTACAAGTAAAAGAATGTCCTTTGCACGGTGACACAGGAGACAGGCAGAGCTGAAAGGTTCTATACAGAGCTTCGAGAGGCTTCTTTGAAAAATGACTCCCTAACCACTCTTCCCATAACCTCTGTAGGGCCACTCCAGCCCTCTCGTACAGCCTTGGGCAGACCTGTCCTGTTTCTGTACAGGCCTCCTCAGACAGCCCTTCCCCCCTTTGCTGGTATGCTTCATCTTCAGCAGAGAGCAGCTCAGACAGCACCTGCTCCCATCCATACGCTCAGATCTTGCAGCTCCTGTTTTTCTTTCTTTCTTTTTCTTTCTTTTTGTTGGGGGGTCTTTTTGAGACAGGGTATCCCTGTAGCCCCAACTGGCCTGGAACTCATTATGTAGGCCAGAGATCCGCCTGTCTCTGCCTCCTGAGTGCTGGGATCAAAGGCATGTGCCAACATAACCAGCCCCCTGGAGTGGTTTCTGACCAGCACTTTCAGTGAGTGTGTCCTGTTGATTATTCATCTCTCCCATTAGGGACCCCGTTTGTCCTAGCTCAGAGCTAGGACAGCAGAAGGCACACAAGTGGCAGCTAGACTGCAGGAGGGATTGCATGGGATGGAGGCCCTTTGCACTGTTTGCCATACACACTGTACTCATTTTTGCATTTTGATTTGTTACAAGTGGGCGTCAAAAAGAGTTGTGTTTGCATCTAAAGTAATGCGAAAGGATAGGTGGCTAACAGTTTGGGGGATACTGGGATCAGACCCTGGGGGATGGAAGGAAGAGGATCAACTTTGGAGGGCGGTAGATGTGTGTGTCGTCCGAGGGACATGAGTGGTGATGAGGTCTAATTAAGTATCTGCCTGGGTGTGAGCGACGAATCCTGGAATGGCACTGGAGGGTCCATCTGCAGAGGCCGGCGTGATCTCCAGCCCCGCCCCACACACTAAGTCCCGCCTTCCAGCGTCTCCAGCCCCGCCCCTCACGCTAAACCCCGCCTTCCAGCGTCTCCAGCCCCGCCTCACACGTTAAGTCCCGCCTTCGAATCCATCATCCGGGGTAGGTACAAGATCCACCCACTTGGTTCAGACAGGTTCCTCACCGCTAGGTCCCGCCCCACCCAGCAGGCTCGTCCTTCCGGGAAGCCAGACACCGGAAGTCCCGCCCCCGAGCAGCACCTTCGCGCTCGGCTCACCGCGCAGGCGCCCTAAGCCCACAGCTGGGCTCCCCTCCTGCAGCGATCCCGCCGCGCTGTCATGGCGCCGCCTCAATCTCCGCCGCTCTGCACGTTGCCACCCGACTCGGACCCCCCACGCTTCGTGTGTTACTGCGAGCTGGAGGGGAGCGGGGACGGGGGCCGCGGCGGCTTCAACCTCTAGTGAGTGGGGTCCGGGGAGGTGGGGTGCGGGGGCGCCGCGGGCGCCGCCCTGACAGCCGGTTCCGCCCAGTGTGACGGACGCCGTGGCGCTCTGGAGCACCTGCTTCTCGCCCGACAGCCTGGCGGCGCTGGTGCGTAACCGCGCGGGACGGTGATGGGGAGTCCGGTACCTCCCTACCACCTCCTTCCCCTCCCTCGGATGCGCTCCAGGGTTGGGAGTGTGGCGTCTCCAAGGGGTCCAGGCAGTTAATGGCAATTCCCTATGCTCTGCAGAAAGCCCGATTTGGCCTAAGTGGGACTGAGGACATCACCTCCCGGTTCAGGTGAGCCCCAAGTAGGGTGGCAGTATGGGCGAGGAGCGGGCACATGCCAGCCATAGTGCACACACTCCTGCTTTCCCAGGGCAGCCTGCCAGCAGCACACAGTAACTGTACACCTAAAGGAGGACGGAGCATCACTGACCCTTTCCGAGGATCCCTCCGCGCTGGCCTTTGACCTCTCCAAGGTGCCAGGCCCAGAGGCAGCTACCCGGTTGCAGGCGCTGACTCTCAGCCTGGCAGAGCGAGTGTGCAACCTGGAGAGGCAGCTGGCAGGTAGGATGTCCATGGGCACCTGGCACCTGTACCCTCACTCAGGGACCTGCTTTTGCTACCCCTCCTGGCGCTGAATGGGGTGCCCGTGGCTTTCTTCTCAGCTGCAGAAGAGATAGCTGCCAGCCCCAGGAAGAGTCCCCGGCCAGCAGGGCCTCAGCTTTTCTTACCAGGTAAGGGGTGAACCTGGCATGTCGTTTGTGGCTATTCTTTCCCTGGAACTGTCTCTCCAGATGCCTCAGGTTCCAGAGAGAATCTTTCTATGTGGACAGGACTATTGCCAGGGTTCCTCTGGGTCTAAGAATCCCCCATTTGGTTTTCCCCCAGAACCCGATCACCAGAGAAGCGGCCCTGGACCTGGGGTCAGAAGACGGTGTCCAGGGGAGTCGCTCATCAACCCTGGCTTCAAAAGGTACTCCCCACCTCTCCTTCCTACCCTGGTCCCTTTCCCCCACTCTGTACCTCCATGGAATCATCCCCTCTTGTCTCCTAGTAAGAAACCAGCTGGTGGTGTAGACTTCGATGCCTGAAGGTACAGCAAAATGTGGGACCTTGCCAGGAGCCTGCCTTCATGGGAGGGGTAGCTCCAAGACCCCATCAACCAGAGATACTCAGGTTCGCTTCCGCTGCCTGGTCCTGCTGCTGGGCAGGAGTAAGACTGTGCTTTGCCTCACATCCTTTCCACATCAAATAAACTGCTCCCTTGGGTAGAGATGCTAGGCAAGACTTGAATGGTGAGGCTGGGCCTTGGGGAGGGGGCTAGAGAAGCCCCTTCGGGTGTACTTTTGGCATGGAGTTCCAGGATGTAAACAGGTTCATCTGATCCTGAGCTTCCCAGAGGAGTCTCTCTTAGCTGGGTCTAGGGCAGCTGAACTCTCTCAGACCTGTGGAGCTCTTCCCCATGGCCTGTCCAGTTGCTGAGAGGGTCCCGGTTAGGTAGTACCAGGACTCCCCAAGTCTTGGAACTCTGTCCTGCCGTGCTGGTTCTCACCTAGACAGGCAGATCACTCTTGCCCCATACAAGGGTACACAAAAGAGTTGTCTTGGGCAAGTAGATGTCTGGAAGGCCGCCACAACGTGTCAGGCAGTGGAAGCCCCTTCTGGGAGGTAGAGTTGGCTAGCCACCTGGGGCAGGACTGAGGAATGTGGGCCTGCCCCCACCCACCTGGCTAGGATCCCTGAGGTTGGGCTCTACCGGGCTCTGCTCCCCACCCTCCTTGGCCATCCAGGGCACCCCGCCCAGCTCTGGCCTGACTGGTTTGGGAGACTAATCCAGTCCCCCAGATCCCTGACGCCTCTGTGCCATGGTGACTGTGGGCGGCCCCCAGGCCTATGCGCTGGTGCTGTGGAGGAGGATGAGCTGTACCCTGCCCATGGGCTCTTTTGCCCTCATCATCCGGGGCTCTCATCTGGACCTGTGCATCACACCATGGGGTTCAGGTGGTGTAATTGTGGGCCTCTGGCCACTTGGATGTTCAGGACACACTCACTTGGGGCAGAGGTACCTTTATGGGCCTGCAGACAAGTGGACAAAAGTAGGAGTGCTAACGGGGGCGCACCACAGGCCGGTAAGCTGCCAGGATCTCCGAGCTCTGTGGACACGTGTACTTGAACTCCTTTTCCTGGAGTGCACTGTCCAGGTAGTGGCGGACACCACGCAGCTCCATGGGGATGGGTGCCTGGCGGAAATGTGCGCATACAGTCTGCAGGTGCAAGTAGATTGTGGTTAGGGCCTGGATTGATGGCCTTTCTCCCCGCCCCGACCAGCTGGCCCCTCACTCACATCCACAATGTGCAGCTTGGGCAGCAAGCTGCAGTCAGCCAGTGTGAACTGGTCACCATCTAGGAAGCGGCGGCGGGACTCTCGAAGCTGTGGCTCCTGTGTCAGCTCATGCTCCAGCGGTGTACGCAGGTAGCTGTCCAGCTTGGCCAGGGCCCTCAGCAGCTGTTGGTACAGGGCTGGGGGCAGCAGCACAGTGAGGGCCCTGCCTTGGCCGTGGGTGGGCCCTCCCGCCCACACCTGCTGGCCTGTGTCTCACCATCATCCTGTGCAGGCACTGGGTTCTTGATGAAGGCAGAGAACTTGTGGAAGACGTCATTGCCTGCTGTGTTGGATTCCCTGTACCTGGGCGCCAGGCTAGGGAAGCTGCCAGGGGTGAGTGGTTTGAGAATCCCAGTCAGACCTTCACATGCCCACTGTGTCTCAAAGCCTCCTTCCTAGTCACTCTCTGGGCCTTCCTCCCTAGGGTCCCATCCTTGCCCTCCTGCCCCATCAGGGTGCTCACTCGGGTGGCCCCAGCGTCTCCTCCAGAAAGTCCTCTATCTGCAACGTGTCTGTCTTGGCATCCCCATTGTAGAGCAGGATGGGCAGTTGCGAGCCAGGAGCGAAGTCTTTCAGCACATCCAATGCCCTGTGGACACCAGGCAAGAGGGAGGTGGCTGGCCTGAGGTGGGCAGAGGCCAGGGAGGGGTCCAGGGTGGGATCTCACCTTCGGGTGTCCACTGTGGTAAGTGTAAAGGGCACACCCTTGAGGAGCAGGACCATGAAGAGCCGCTGACAGGAAGGACAGTGTCCCACACTCTCACCATCCTCACTGGCCTGAGTGGGTGGAGCAGGGGTTTTAGGCTGCAGACCCAGGAATCCTGACACCAGACTGGGTGGGACCCTGACACCCACTGCCATTGGCTCTGGAGTCATGCCAGAGTTCTGGCCTGGTTGGGCATGGCCTCTTCAAGTGTCTAATGAGGGCCCTTGACTTGGTTCCTAGAATGGGGAGGGGAAGCTGGGAGCTTGGAGGCAGGTAGGGATGAGGCCTGGCGTGGGGTCCTGACAGCCTTTTTCTCAGAGCCAGGATCCAGGCAGAAAGACTGCCTACAGGGTGGGGTAGGCCAGCCAGCTGTCTTCTAAGTGATTCACGCACCCAACTGGGCACTGGGGCTGACAGCCCAGTTCAGGAAGGGGGCGGAGGTAAAGACAGCCAGGTTCTGCCCCCACCGAGGTCTGAGTACTGGCGTGAGAATTGATGGAGGTATCTGGCCAGCCCCAACTCCGAGCATAGAACCCAAATCTCTAGTTAAGCCTCTAGTGCCAGCTGCCCGATTGACACCTCCCCACCAAGGAACTTTCCTCTGGAGGGCTACACTAGGTCCAGGAGCCACCGCAGCAAACAGGACCCAGTTAATCGGATCCCCTTTGAAGTAGCTCCTGCCCCGGACTGCCCCACTTTAGTCAGCCTGTGTGGGGTGGCTTAAGCTTACCACAGAGGAAGGGGCTCAAACACCACTGAGAAGACCCATCCCATAGCCTGCACAGAAAGCAGAGCACCCCCTCCAGCCCAGCTTGCCCAGAACCTTCACAAACAGCTGGAGCTTGGTGGTTTCGGTCATGGTGAGAGCTGAGGCATCCGGAGTAAGGCACAGGGCGGGCCTTGGGAGCTCTTTTAAGTCTCCCAGGACTCCCCGCCCTCCCGTCTGTGGGCCTGCCCCACAGAGCCACCTAGGCGGGTGGATAGGTTGCCAGGGCAGATGCAGCTGCCTGTACAAGACCAAGGTGTCCACACATAGTGACCACAGGGGCCTGGGGGGAGGGGAGGGGGCTGTGAATGTGGGAAGCTGTCTGGCAGGCAGAAAACAAGTCCCAGTGTGATCATGATGGGGAACCAGTGTGGGGGATGCAGAGAGCTGGGTGAGGAGGCCAAGAGAGCTCAGGGGCCATAGGGTGCTAGCCTAGAGGGGCAGCTCTGAACCCGAACTGCCCCACCCTGATCCCAGACCTGCCCCACAGTCCTCCCTGCAGCACAGGTCCTGCTGTCAAGGCCTCGGCCCAGAAAGCCAGGGAGTAGGGATGGGTTAGAAATGCCTCTGTTCGAATCTGTGGGATCAGCCCGCCTGGAGGAGATGCCCCCTCCCACTCACAAAGCCCAGTCAGGGCCCTCTGCCCTCCCGGCAGGCCCACATTCCTGACATACTAGTGGTTGGCAGGCTGATAAGCCTGGTTTTGGTGTTTAACTCAGCTGAGCAGAGGACTCCACCCCTACCCACATCTGTCCACACAGGACTGGGGTAGATTTCTTTGTCTTAGCTTTTACCACACCAGGAAGTGTTAGAATCCAACTGCTAGCTGAGGGGCTTATGGTGTGGCCCTTGGCTGGAAGGAAAAGGCCAGAATAGTATCTGAACTCACCAGGCACATACTTGCCACTCACCCAGGCCTCCCTGTTCCACTGGAGTTGACAGTGGGGAGTTTCTTTGGGGGTCACTTGTATCTCTGCCTGTGCCTAGTAGCAGGCAGCCCCCAGGGGAATTGTTCATGGGAACTCCTTAGTCCCATAAAGGACTGGCACCACCCGGTGGCTAAGAACAGAACCTGCTGGTTGTCTTCCCCTCTCGCCTGTTGGGGGAGGGGGGAGAAACTGTGCAGCCAGGGTGGCCCCATATCAGCCTATTCACCTGCTAGTCTGCCTGCCTCCTGGCCAGGGCGTCAGCTATCCCAGGCTTCCCTCCTCACTAGCCCTGTCTTGCCACTTCCCTGACCTCAGCTCACTGAATTCCTAGACAGTGTGATTCCAATATACTTAAGCTTGGGTTCTGTGCTAAAGCCTCAGTTTTGCCTCCATTCGGACCCCACTGCTGTAGAACAGCCCCAGAAGCCCTCCTTAATTGCCAGTGGTCAGCAAACATCCCTTGTTTATGTATATACTTTGCAAAGCTGCCCTTACAAATCCATAAGAAAAGAACAGTGAGCTAAGGGCGTGAACAGTGCCTCAGAGAGGAAACCAGTCAACACAACCTCTGACACCTCGAGAGACAAACCAAAGCAGTACATGCTCTTCGCTGCTATAGGCAGTCACTGGCCACCTTTCCTGTCAATCTGAGCCCTAGAATCAGCCCCAGGTTTCCTAAACCCAGGGCACCACCAACAGTGGATGGGACAAGAGGGTGGGCCCATGTGGGGACAGTCTCGAGAATCTGATACAGGTTTGTTGTGTTCCTCGAAAGCTTCCTGTGCTGGAATCTTAACTTGCAGGACCTGTGACTTTATTGGGAGGTAGTGTTCTTAGAGATAAAAATGAGGCTGTCAGTTTAGGCTCAGTTCAGTTTGGCCGTACCTGTATCAAAAGGGGAGATTTGTGGCTAGGATATATTTCAGTAATAAAGAGCTTGCCCTGAATGCAAGGCCCTAGGTTTGAACCTCAGCACCAAAAAAGGGGTTGTGGGGGGGGCGCTGGAGAGATGGCTCAGCTGTTAAGATCACTGGCTGCTCTTGCAGAGGACCTGGGTTCGATTCCCAGCACCAACATGGTGGCCAACAACTGTCTGTAACTCCAGTTCTAGGGGATCCAACACCCTCTTCTGACCTCCACAGGCATTGCAAGACATGGGTGCACTTATACACATGCAGGCAATGCACTCAAAAAAAGGGATGGGAGAGATTTGAACACACAGGTATGCACACAAGAAGACTGTCACATGAACATGAAGGCAGAGGAGGGCACACTTATGAGCTGAGGATTGTGGAAGACCGCCAGCCTGCTCCAGGAGTTGAGGAAGGGCCTAGAACACGTCCTTCCACATGCCTTCAGTGGAGCCAGCCTGACCTAACCCATCTTTTTCTCCCTTTGTATGGCAGCCACAGCAAACCAATACAAAGGGACAAAACAGAACTAAGCCATCCAATAGCACACTGCGTCCTGAGTCTCACTGGCCCATTCCCAGCAAGAGCCATCAGCAGGCAACTTTTTAAATTTTTATTTTTTTATTTTATGTGTACGCGTGTATTGCCTGCATGTAGGTAAGTGCACCCGTGTTGTGCAATGCCTGAGGAGGTCAGAAGAGGCTGTCGGATCCCCTGGGACTGAAGTTACGGACAGCGGTCAGCTGCCACGTGGGTGCTGAGATTCAAACCTGGGTCTTCCGCAAGAACATTCAGTGCTCTTAACCACTGAGCCCCGAAAGTAGTAAGTGCTATTAACTGCTGAACTATCTTTCCGGCCTCTACAGGTAACTTCTAACAGGAGGAACAGACACTGACTTTTGTTCTGTCCAGCCCTACCATCTGTGTTTTCTAATGTGTGAATTTTAAAAATATTTTATTATTTTTATGTGTATGAGTGTATTACCTACATGTATGTGAGTGCACCTGTGTCGTGCAGTGCTGCGGAGGTCAGAAGAGGGCTTCAGATTTCCCTGGAACTGGAGTTAAGGATGGTTCATAGCTGCCATGTGGGTGCTGGGACTCAAACCTGGGTCCTCTGCAAGAACAAGCAGTGCTCTTAACCGCTGAGCCATCTCTCCAGCCCACACGTGAATTTTCTAGCATGTTTGTCATAAATTTTTTTTGGGGGGGTCTTTTTGAGACAGGGTCTCCCTGTAGCCACCACTGTCCTGGAACTCATTATGTAGACCAGGCTGGCCTTGAACTCAGAGATCCGCCTGCCTGCGTGGTGGTGCACGACTTTAATCCCAGCACTCGGGAGGCAGAGGCAGGCGGATCTCTGTGAGTTCAAGGCCATCCTGGTCTACATAGTGAGTTCCTGGACAGCTGGGGCTACAGGGAGACCCTGTCTCAAAAAGACAAAAAAAAAAAAAAGTGTGAGGTCCTAGATTCAATCCTTGACCTCCCCTCTCCCCCGCGCAACCCCCCCCACATCAAAATGAGATGCAAATTTAATACTACTAACCTTAACTGGACCCATGACCTGTCCAGACCATCAGCTTGTCCCTAAGCCTCCACTACATAGAGAAGATCCTCGGGGGGGGGGGGGGTGTCACTGGGCTCAGGGCTGGCTCAACCTCTCCATCCTGGTCCCTTTGATTCCCTGATGCAATCAAGATTGTTGAGGTTTTTTTTATTTTTATTTCATGTGTATGAGTGTATTGCCTGCGTGTGTGTAAGTGTACCCATGTCATGAAATGCCCACAGAGGTCAGAAGAGGGCATTGGATTCCCTGGAACTGGAGTTACAATCGGTTGTTAGCTGCCATGTGGATGCTGGGAATCGAACCCAGGTCCCCTGCAAGATCAGCCAATGCTCTTAACTGCTGAGCCATCTCTCCAACATATTATTTTTATTTTTTTATGGGTATGAGTTTTTGCGTGCATGTATGTAAACACACCCCTGTTGTGCAATGCCTGTGGAGGTCAGAAGAGAGCGTCGGATTCTCCTTGAAACTGGAATTAGAGATGGTTGTTAGACACTGTGTGGATGCTGGGAATTGAACCTGGGTCCTCTGGAAGAACAGCAAGTGTTCTTAACCTCTGAGCCATCTCTCCAGCCCCTCAAGATTGTGTTTTACAGAAGCCCTGCCCTGGCACAAAATTTCAGCATTCTTTTTTAAAGATAAGAGTCTCTCATGTAGCCCCAGACTGGCCTTGAACTTCTAATCCTCCTACCTCCATTTCCAAACTGCTGGGATTACAGGTGTGTGCCATCACAGCTGGTCTCTAACGGCTCTGTTCTGAAGGGAGACAAAAACCTATTAAAGAGGTGAAGGGGACTGGAGTGTACGAGGGTTAGAGGTTTCCCTAACAGATTCTTCTGAGCTCTACTTGCAGAAAGCACCTACAGGCAGTGACACTCATAGCAGCAGCAGATCCAGCACCAAGATTCTGTTTCAAACAACCATTCCCTCAAGGGCTCTGCACTGGACTGTCAGGTTTTGAAACCATCACAAGCATAGTGAAGGATTAGGACATGGGGCCTATCAGAGCTAATTGGCATGTTATAGTGGAGCCCTCATGCGTGGGATCTGTGCCCACATGAAAGGGACCCATCACAACCCCACATTCAGAACCCTGATCTCAGACTCAGCCTCCAGAACTGTGAAGGATCAAGTTGTAGTCCATGAGGCCTACCTGCTGACCTATCTGTGCAGCCCAGGTGCTAAAGGAGGCTGGTCTGGGCTTAGCCCAGAAAGCAGGAAGAGTTCAGAGACTGTCACAACAGGGCCACAGGACATAGGCCAAGCCAGGCATAGCAGTCCACATGTGTAATTCAAGCACTGGGGAGATAGGTAGTCTTGGTTAAGTACATATAAGCTCCCGTCTGAAAACAAACCAAAAGAAGCCAGCAAAATGGCTCAGCAGGCAAAAGCTCATGCCATGCAAACCTGTGTTCTGTGCCTGGATCTGGTAGTGGAAGAACCTCTATACATGCACCATGGCATGCACAGGCCTGCTCACGCATGCACACACACACAGGCCCCTTTGGGGGAGCTCTGCTGGCCGAATCTCAGGCAACCTGCAAAGTGTATCAGTGGAATTGTACAAATGGTTAAATGATAAAATATTAATATTTTACCACAAAAATGTCAAGCTTACAGTAATGGATGATAGCATGTTGAGTTTTTTAAGCCCATGGGTCCACAGTGACATGAATTTTAAATATTTTATTTTTATTTTATGTATATGAGTGTTTTGCCTGTATGTAGTGAGAACATGTTGTGTTGTGCAGTGCCCACAGAGGCCAGAAGAGGGCATCAGATCCCCTGGAACTGGGGTTGCAGATGGTTGT